GGGGGCGGGCTGGGCAGGGGCTGACGCTGCCCGTGTCCCCAGGCCAGTATGCTTTCCAGCTGAAGGCTATTGACATAGACGGGGATCAGCTCACCTACAGCATCAGCGGGCCAGAGGCCTTCTACTTCTCTGTTGAACCCCAGACAGGGAACGTGACACTGAGGAACTCCCTGGACCGCGAGGTGATGGCAGAGAGCAGGGCAGATGTCCCTGCCTGAGCTGGGGTGTCTGGGGTGACGGGGACAGAGGGCAGAGCCATGAGTCCTGTGGGAGAGCTGCTCATGGCAGTACTGTGGGTCACGCTCTCGCCCCAAAGCCCGGCTCCGTGTGGGAAAGCTGTCTGGGAGGAGCATCCCACCCAGGGGTGGCGGGTGGGAGGGTATTAGGGCTCAGCCATCCAAGGATCAGGCTCTGCCTGGCCCTAACCAAGTCCTGCCTTGTGTCCCTCCAGTTCCTGGCCAAGTTCACCATCACCGTTGGAGTGTTCGATGGGATGAACCAAGCAGTGAGTGCCAGGGCACGGGCTGGGTGGCTGCAGCGGGTGATGGGGATGGGGATGGGGAGGGGAGCAGGGTCTCAGCGAGGCCATGGACGAGGCTCAGTGGGGAAGGGGGATGGAGGTGGGCTTTGCCCAGGGGCGGGTGATGATGCTGGCTTTGGAGCCGGGGGGGTGCGGGGTGCCACAGCTGCACCCATGTCTCCCAGGCACCATCTACCGCACTCACCCTGTGGCCTCCCTGACACCCGGTAGGTCTCCAGAAAGCTCACAGTCATCGTGGAGGACCGTAATGACAACGCCCCGGTCTTCCGGAACCCTCCATCCCCGAGGTACCGCCCCGGGACCTCCCGGCCCCGGCAGGCAGCAGGGCAGGGGGATAACAGTGCTCTGGGAACAGGGTGACCCCATGCCTGGGCGTGCGGTGACAGTGTGCCTGGGCGTGGGGCAATGGTGCAGCTAGCAAGGCTGAGCTGGGAGCGCTCCGTGCTGGGACAGTTCCCGGCTGGCACCTCTGTCCTGGTCCGAGGCGCTGGCGCATAGCTGGGACTCTGCCCTTGCGATGAATTTCTGACCAGGGAGTGCCCAAAGTGCCGCTCAGCCCGGGCCAGGGTGAGGCCGGCTCAGGGTGCAAATGGGGTGTGGGGCTGCGCCCGACCCCACTCTGGCAGCCCCAGGGCTGGGGTGCAGCCCCTGCTCCCAGGGAGCCCCAGGGAGGGTGGCAGGGGGGGTCCAGCCTCTGCCCATCATGAGCAAGGGCAGCAGCTCGTCCCTGTATGGCCCACGGCACTGGACAGCCCCTGGAGCCCTGCGGGGCCGGAGCACCCCAGGGCAGGGCTGGCAGGGGCCGGGCCCCGCACCACCCACCCCACTCTCACGGGTGATGCCACCACCACCCCTCTGTGTGCCCAGAACACGAAACCCAACAGCGTTATCTACACCGTGTTTGCCAACGACAGCGACACTGGGAACGCCTCCAAAGTCAGCTACAGCATCGAGGAGGTGAGTGCAGGGCTGAGCCCCAATACCCAGGCATTGCCCTGGCCGGGGACTCAGTGTGCTGGGGTGTGGGGGGCCGGGAGGATGCTGGGGATCCCAGGACCTCCCCAGCAAGCCCTCTGTGCCAATGGGAAAATGAAGTGGCTCGACCACGTGAGCCAGGGCAGGCCCTGGCATCTCCCCTAGCTGAGCCTGCCTGCTCCCCAGCACCAAGGAGGGGTTCGTGCCTGCTGGACAGCAGCAGTGCATCGCAAAGTGGGGCAAGTCATACCCAAAACCTACCCCTGAGCCACCTCCATGGGGCAGAGGTGCTGGGGGACCCAGCTGGGGTCAGCCCCATGGCTTTGGGGGAGCAGGGGTATGTGCCGGGTCAGGAGGGCTGGCTCTGCACCTGCTGGGTAATGGGTGCAAGGTGCTGAATAGTTGCAAGCTGGGGACAAGCGAGGTGGTAGGGGGTCCCCACGGCCTGTGGGCCAAGCCTGTTAGAAGGATGGGGGTTGAGCCCCCATCTCTGCTGGGGCACCTCTGCTCCCTGCCTTGGTGACGCAGGGTGATGTCCCCTGCCCAGGTGATCCCAGACAGCACGAAGAATCTCTGGCTCTTCTACATCCTGCCCAATGGGAACGTGGTGCTCAATGGCTCACTGGACTATGCCAAGAACACCTTCTACCAGCTCAAGATCCTTGCCAAGGTGGGGGCCAATCGGGCCGGAGGCACGGGGCTGCCAGGTAAGGGTGCCATGGGACTAACAGGTGCTCTGCTCCCCAGGACGGCGGGGGGATGTTGCACAACATGTTGACCTTCCAGCAGAGCTCAACCTACCTGTCCCTGACCGTCGTTGACCTACCCAACCTGGACCCACGGTTCCTCAACGAGCCCTACTCCAGCTCTGTGCCTGAGAACTGCGCCCTGGTAGGGAGCCTGCCTGCCCCAGCTGCATGTCCCTACCCCTGGCCCTGCCTGGGGGCTCTGACGCCCCGGGGTGTCTGGGCCACTGGGCATGGGGATGCCTGGAGACATCGTGGGTCCTGCCCTGATGGCCATGTCCCTGCAGGGCACCACTGTGCTGACTGTCACTGCTGTGGACAGAGACACGGCGGTGAATGACAAAATCTCCTACAGCATCACCAGTGAGTGATGGGGCAGGGCGGGATGGGCAGGGGGTGAGCAGTGGCAGGGTGGGAAGGGCAGGGGGGGTGATCGGGCAGCAAGGGGCACCACAGGGACTGGTTCTGGGCTCCCGGGTGCTGCCAGCCTGCCCTGCTGGGAGAGAGAGGGCCAGGCCTGCACTTCCCAGTGGCTGCAGCTGGTTCCTGCTGTCCCCTCGCCCTAGATGCCAGCGTCCCCTTTGCTATCAGTGCCACGACAGGCACCATCACTGTGAGTGGGCCCCTGGACCATGAGCAGCTGCCAAGTGAGGAAGTGCTGCTGGAAGTCACAGTGAGTAGGAGGCAGGAAGGGGAACCCCATCCTCTTCCTCTCACTGGGCCCTTCCAACCCACTCTCTCCTCCTGCCCAGGCACGTGAGAAGAACCTGGACATCCATGGCAATGTGGCGCAGGCCAGCACCCTGGTAGCAGTCATGGTGACCGACGTCAATGACAACAAGCCCCAGTTCTACCGCTGCTCCCTTCCCAGCTGCAACTTCTCCACCAGTGCCCAGAACAACTTCAGGGGCAACATCATAGAGCACTCCTCCTCCAGACTGCCTGTGTCCAACCTCAGTATCGTCGCCCACGACCCAGACAAGGTGGGAGCTTGTCCAGGGCTGGGCTGGGGTGCAGGTGCCTGTCCTGGCTGCACCACCCACCCTCACTCCTGTGCATCTCTCCCCGGCAGGGCATCAACAGCAACTATGAGCTGTACCTGCAGGGTCCAAATGCCAGCGCCTTCACTGTCTCCCCCACAAAAATCGTGGGCACAGGGCAGGTCCAGCTCCTGGTGCAAGACCCATCCTCCGTGGACTACGAGATAAGCCATACCATGATGGTGCAGGTTCGCCATGGGGACAGTCCCTGCTCCCTGCGTATGCCAGGGCACAGAGGGCACGCAGCCCTTCTCCTGCAGGGTTCAAAAGCCAAAGCAGAACATGGCTCTGCCCTGGCAGCTTGTTTGGTTCAGAGGAGTTGGGCTGGAGTGTGACAGGTCTCTATCTCATGCTTGGGGACCCACGCGAGACACTGTCCCTTCTCCATCCTGCAGATCATTGCTAATGACACAGGAAACCCCAAGGACTGCTGCTCCACAGCCACCGTGACCATTGATCTCACTGACAGCAACGACCACATCCCCGAGTTCCCCCAGAGTACTTACAACCTGAGGGTGATGGAGAACAGCCCTGCTGGCACCATCATCTCCCCAAACATCACGGTCAGGCACTGGGCAGGGAGCGGGCAGAGCTTACGTTCCCCAAGCAGGGTGCTGGGCACACCTGGCACTGCTGGTGTTGAGGGCACTGGTCTCTGTGCACAGGGGAAGGAGATGGTGCTAGCAGACACACAGGGTGTGGGACCACATGCCCATCAGGGCCATGTTTTTGGGGTGCTCACTGCCAGCAGCCAGTGCCCCAGACTCATCACTGCCCTGGAGGCTGAGGTGGATTGACAGGATGCTTCTTTCTCTCTGCTTTAGGCCTATGATCCAGACAGCGGTGTCCTGGGCCAGATCACCTACGAGCTGCTTCCGGAGAGCATGTACGTAGGGGCACAGCCAGCCATGACCGGGGCATCATCCAGGCGAGGGGGCTTCAGGCCTGAGCCCTGGTGATGGCTCTGTGTGTGCCACAGCCGTAAAATCTTCACGGTGAATGCCACAACCGGGGCAGTGCTGGTGCAGAACGGGAGCTTGCTGGACCGGGAGACTCGCTCCATCTACTATGCCAACCTCCAGGCCAAGGATGGGGGCAACCTGGTGGGCACCACCGTGCTGGAGATCACCGTGCTGGATGACAACGACATGGCGCCCATCATCGCTGGCTCCTACTTCATCTCGGTGGAAGAGGGGCAGAACGTCACAACGCAGATCCAGGTATGTGCTGCTGGAGGCGGAGAGGACAAAGCGGGGCTGTTGGAGAGGAGCACGGACTGTCCCCAAGGTGCTGGACAGCCCTGTTCCAACCATTGACCTTTTCAGGCCATTGATAATGATGAGCCTGGCAACCGCAACAGCAAATTGGGCTTCAAGATCTTGCCAGGACCATTCAGCAACAACTTCACCATCAATGCGACCACAGGTGAGATGCAGAGCAAGGAGCCGCTGGACCGTGAGGCCTTGGAAGATGATCGGGGGCAGATGGTGGTGACGGTGGAGGTGTACGACCACGGCATGCCGCAGCTCAGCACCTTGGTGAACATCACCATCACTGTGGGGGTGAGCCCTGGGCACAAGCAGGGACACGCTGGGGCAGGCAGAGGCCTGGAGCTGGGATGTAAGGGCAGGGAGGGGACGTGGGATCCCTGGCTGTAGCAGGGGCACCGTGTCCCCAGATTCTCTGCGGGGGCAGAGGGAATAGTTGATGCAGAGACGCAGGAGAGGGCTTGTGTGCCTCCCGCCTGCGGGCAGGTGGGTGTCCACACACCTGTCCCCAGCCTGCTGTGGGGGACCCTGTTTCCTGGAGTGGCTACAACCATGGACTTTATCACCTGCAGGACATGAATGACAACACACCCATGTTCCTGAACCAGTCCTATGAGTTCTCAGTCTTTGAAGACTCTCCAGGTAGAAGCTGTGTGGCCAGGCTCGTGGGACCAGTGTTGTCCCAGAGTCAGTGCCCACTGGCCACTGAGTGTCTGTCTCCACCTGCAGGGTCCTTCGTGGGTGAGGTGGAGGCCACAGATGCCGACCAGATGGAAATCAATTCCCGCATTTCCTTCCTACTTCAGAGGGGCAGTGGCTCCAGCAACTTCTTGATCCGCTCATTCCACCTGGGGCCAGGGTACTATGGTGGGCAGCTGTCCATGGACCCTGACACGTCCCTGGACTATGACAACCTGCAGCAGAAGTTCTTCTCCTTGGTGGTGCTAGCAGAGAACACAGCTGCAAACAATATGGGGGACACCGCCAGCGTCTCAGTGGTGGTCCATATCCTAGACGTCAATGACGAGCCCCCCACCATCCTGCCAATCTCGCTGCAGGATGTGCACGTGAGTGAGAACGGCACACAAGAGGGTCTGGTCCACACACTGGTCGCCTCCGACCCAGACACTGCCCACCGGCTGGTCTTCGAGGAGCTGGCGGTCACCTGCTTCAAAGGGGCAAGAAGCGCTGGGGAGGTGTGCTGGGACTGGTTCGTGCTGGCACCCAACGGCTCAGTGCTGGTGAACAGCTCGGACATTGACTATGAGCTGTGCGACAGGGTGGTGCTCACGCTGCGGGCTGAAGACCTGTACACCAAGAAGGGCAACCGCTACAGCCAGAATGGTATGGCACCCACTCCACACCACTGGGCACGGTGGGCGGTGGGACCTGCCTCTCCCACCTTCCAGGAGGAGCTGTGGGGAGCAGGGCAGGAGCTGGGCATTTTGGCGATGGAGGGAGGGTGTTCCCAGCTTTTTTGGTCTCTGCCACAGGGATCTGAGCCTGCTGGGAGGATGGGGCTCCCACGGGCAGCAGGGGAGGGTGCTGCAGGGCTGCTCTGTTGGTGACCGGAGCTCTGCTTTTGGCACATTTGCAGAAACCCTGACGATCCTCATCACTGATGTGAACGACAACACGCCACTCTTCCTGCCCATCTTGGAGACCTTTGGTGAGCAGCCAGGGGTGGTGCATCCTGTGGGCTCCTCTTTGCACCTGCACGTGCTCTGCCACCCTCACCAATGGTGGGGACCTTCCCCCAGCCAGGGCAGGGCTGTGAGAGGTGCAGGGGCCAGGCTGGGGTTACTCGAAGCTTTCCACGAAGGCTGTGGGGCCAAGGGCAGCATGGGGATGCTCAGAGCTCTGTTAAGCCCTGGGGCTGTGCAGGACATGGGGTCTGCAGCAAGCCTGGCTGCACACCAGCATAACCACACTGTCCGTCTGTCTGTCCCTGGCAGTGGTTGTCCCCGAAATCTCTCCTGTGGACCTGCAAGTGGCTACTGTGAAGGTGAGGAGGTGGGGTGAGGAGTTCCCAGTCCGTGGAGCCGGGCTCACCCATCCCCACTGTGGGCAGGCAGTGCTGTTCCCATCTGTGCTCCTGTCACGCTTTGTCCCTGCAGGCCACAGACGCTGACTCGGGGCAGAGGGGAACCATCACCTTCTCCATTGTCAGGGTGGTGCTCATCGAGGACAACGGGGTCAGCCGGCCCTTCGAGAACCTCTTCAAGGTGGTGACAACACCTGAGCAGGACAGCTACGTCGGGAGCATCCAGTGAGGCCATGGGTCTGGGCCAGGGTGGGCGTAATGTGGCTTGGCTCCAGCCTGCTGCAAGGCAGAGATGCAGGCAGGGCCAGCGCAGGCTGGCAAAGGGACAAAGCCATCCTGGGGTCCTGCCCTGGGCACGGTGGTGGGATGGAGCTTGGGGGATGGTGATGCCCTCCCAGGGATGTCCCATGGGATTGCTGATGTCCCTGTCCTCACAGGGTGGCCAGCAACCTCGATGGCTCGCTGAAGGGGCAGTACCAGGTGACGGTGGAGGCTCGGGACGGCGAGGCACCGGTGCACACAGCACAGACCATGCTGAACGTGAGTGTCACCCCCGTCCCCCTTCCCGGGGACACCCCGCACCCTGCCCAGCCCTGCTCACCCCTGCTCTCCCCGCACAGATCTTTGCGGTGGATCAGAGCTACCGTGTTCGCCTCCAGTTTGTGACAACGGTGGATGAAGTCCAGAGTAATGCTGAAAATATCAAAGTGTAAGGGGTGCCGGGCTGGGGGGCAGGAGGTGCATGGCTGTGCAGGGGACATGGGCATGCAGGCCAGGACCCACTGACCGTGTCTCCCAGTTTCACGGACTGTGAAGGGGACCGGGTCAGGCAGGTCC